GCTCACTCACCTCCCCGGCCGCGGTGCCGGGCGTCCGCCGAGCTGCTCCGGGCGGGCGGGCGGGCGGCGGCGAGCGCGGGCGCGCGGCGCCCTCGTTCCGCACGACGCGGGCGGCAGCCCCGCGCGGGGACGTGACCGGACCGCGGGCGGCGCACACGCTCCGGCCGGCCTGGCTCGCTCCGCCCGCCCTCCGCGCCGCCCCGCCCGCCGCGGGTCCGCCCGCCCCGCGCCAGCGGCCGCCGGGCAGGGGCGGAGCCGCGAGCGCAGCGCGTTGCCAGGCCAACCGCGGACGGGGGTGCCGCGCGCCCGCTGGGCACCACGCGCCGGGCGCCTCCGCCCCACCACGAGCGCCGGCTCGCGGCCCATTGGACGCAGGCGGCTGACGGACGCGCCAGCAGTCCAATGGGAACGGATAGGGGTCGGGGCCACAGCTCTGCCTGCGCCGCAGTCCTGCACTCGCTACCCGCGCCGGCATCCTCCGGGCTGCGCGGAGGCCCAGACGCCGACACGGTGGGCCCGCGTCTGGCAAGCCGGGCGGGCCGGGCCGAGAGCATCAGTGGCCCTGGCCCCTCCACATCAACGTGTCCCAGCTCACCTCCCCACCGAGTCGAACCCAGCCGGGCCCCTTCTGAGCACCGCGTCCTTGGGCAGCCGGCTGACCTCTGCCAGTCTTTCCGTTTGCAAAGTGGAGCTAGTGGCACCTGCCTCCTGGATTGTCGCAGCAGAACGCTAGAACGTGTGAAAGGTTGTGCAAACCCTACAGATTTACAACGGTGAGGTGTGCAGCGATGGGAGGGGCATTAGCCATCTCCGCTGCTCTGCCCCCAGCGTGTAGAGGCTCTTTGGAATCCCCGGCAGCCCTAGTCCAGGAAAGGTTGCCCGGGAAGGGAAAGGAAGTGAGGGTGAAGGGCCCAGGAGCTGGCCCCGGGCCCAGAGAAGCGGGAAGAGCCAGTTGACTTAAGCCCAGGCCCTGTTGGTGCCTTTGGGATCTCACAGCAAGCATCAGACCTCAGCCAAACGTACCGGAGGGCAGGCTGCCACATTCTCCTTTCAATTTCAGAGCCTGTCTGTGCGTATTGCAGCCTAGACCATCTGTGGTAAAATGTAGATGCCTCCCAGATCCTTCCTTACCACTTTACGTCTTGGTGGTCAGGTCACCTGGGTGACTCCGTTCAGTAAGCAGAAGCACTGGGACTGACCATTGGCAGAGGTCAGTGGTTTGGCCGTTGCAGCCCAGCTCTGTGATCTTGCAGACCCCCCAGGTTACAGGACAGGGGCAGAAAGCAAGACAATAATCGGCTATTACAGTCATGTGATACTATTGGAGGAGACCCAAAATGCTCTGGGGGCATGTGGCAGGGGAGCACTGGCCACTGGGCCAGCTTCCTGAAGGAAGAGATGAGGCCACAGCAGGAGTGCAGGTAGCCAGTGACATGGGGTGGGAAGGAACTGCACTCTGAGGCGGGAATCGCACTGGGCGTGAAGGAGCACGAGGCTTGGGAGAACCCGGGAAGACCAGCGTGGCCGGGGCAGCGAGCTGAGAGGGATGTTGGCCTAAGAACCACTAGAGAATTTTAAGATGAGCCTTTTACGATGAAGCCTTTTCCCCCCATATTTATTTGCAGTAGGCATGGTCCCCCAGACAGTGTGAGTCTGGGTCCTACTGGGTCTAATCAAATAACAAAAATATCAACTAGTCAGTCCAGAGACAATGAGAAAGAGCAGAGAGTCGGTGCATGAGGCCGAGTCCAGGGTAGGGCCTGCTGTGGCTGTGGGGCCATGGGGAGACCCAGCGTGTCAGGAGGCAGTGGCTGGGCGTGATCAGGGTACCCATGAGAGGAGCTGCATGAGAGGAAGCAGTGGCACTCGCCAAGAGTGGAGGAACAGTTGGAGAGGTGGTCAGGAAGCAGAGAGTGGAGGGAAGAGGAGGGAAGACGCTATTGATCAGTGGTGTCACAGCTGCTTTGAGGCTGAGCAATGTGAGGACAATGAAGCATCCCCAAGGGGAGGCAGGCACAGTGGGCGTCAGTGTGCCAGGGGTCCAGGGCCCGAGGCTGTACAAGGCTCAAGCTGGGCAGATGGGTCACCAGTGGAAGAGTCACAGTGGGCCCAGGGAGCCAAAGGCAGACACACAGTCCCCAAGGCAGGAAGGGGTGTGACTGGAAGCAGAACCCAGGGCTGGCGCTCTGTCCTGAGTCCTCACTGACAGACAGATGGCAGTTGGGGCTCCGCAGCAGCCAGAGGAAGGGGACCTTGGTGACTCAGCCTATCTGGCACCTCCCCAACTCAGCAGGGACAGCTGGCTGAGAAGTGGCTCCTGTAGGGTGGTGTCCCCTAGAAAATGATCAAACCTCAACCACAGGTGGCTCCCCCCGTGGGCGTCATGACCCCTCAATCCTAGTGGCTCCTGGGTCATCAACTACTCACCCATCATGGCCCCTACCTACATACCCACCAGGCCAGATCAGGGGTCCCACCAAGCACACACACACCTTTGACACTCGGCCGGTCTGGACTCCTCCACGCCATGAGGGCTGCTTCCCCGGGCCTCCCGTCCTGCACTTCCAGAGCCCCAGGACCCTGGAATTCCTTGTTTATGCACGTGCCAACCTGTTCTGAAACGACCTGTCCCCAGCTGGCACTCCCATTGGTCTTCCCACTTGTCTGTCCCCAGCTGGCACTTCCCCTTGCTGAGGGGGCTGTGGGGTGTCTCACTTGTGTCTGAACTTCCCAAGGCCCAGGGCCTGGCCTGCTCGGGTGCCAGCCCACCCTGGCTGGCTCTTTTCTGTGCCCACCTGTCCTGCACTCCTGCACACCCACCTCACTGCCTGTTAGGCTGCCACCCAGCTGGGTGGGTTTCTCCAGCTTGTTCCCTTGGGGTCCATGTGCCCCACCCCCACTTGAACAAGCCATCGCAAATCTGGGTTAGTTATAAATAGCCAGGCCCGAGACTCTTCTTTTAGCTGAAAAGAAGCAAAGTGAACGAGCAGAAAGGCACACCCGGCACGCGTTTTATTTTTAATCTTCTCCTCTGTCTCAAAATGAACCTGGGTCCCAGAACTGAGCATTTCTAGGAGCAGAGGGCCAAATGCCTGAGAAACAAAACTGGAGGAGCTGAGAACCCTGCCTGGTTTTGCCCCCATCTTCTGTGTGACCTTGGGCATTTGAGTGACCTCTCTGGGCCTCGGTTTCCTCACCAAAGGAGAGGGGCACAGCAGAGGTAATCACCTCTGATATTGCGACTTTTCTGACCTCAGCTCGCTCCCGTATCCTTCCCCCAGCCTGTGCCCACCCACTTTGGCAAGCAGCTCCCATAACCCCAGCACAGACAGTGTCCCTGCGATTTCCCAGAAAGTTCAAATCCGGGTGCAATGGGGCCCCAACTGGACGATTCAGAACTTCCTCACACCCAGGTCTTTGCTCAGGTGGTCCCCAGCCCAGAACCTGTACCCCCATCTGCCAGCAAACATCCTTGAAAGGTCAAACTGTCACCTCCCCACAGTAAGCTGTGCAGGTCATGGCTGTACCTGAGGTGGAGCAGGGTGGGAGCAGGAGGCCAGGTGTGTGGCCTGGCAGTGGCCTGGCCATAGGAGAGGGTGGAGGGGGAGAAAGGATCAGGCCACCAAGAGAGGCTGCCGGGGGACCAGTGATGGGCTCGCAGGGCCTGGACTGTGTTCTGCTCCTCACCCCCCACCCCCACCCCAGCAAGCCCTTGCTGGCAGCTGGGACTCAGTGTTGGTGGGACGCAGGCACCTCTTGCACCCTGCCCAGATGTTCCAGGCACACAGTGACAGTCCCTTATGTGGATGTGGAAATCTGTAGCACAGGAAGTTCCCACCCACAGCCCCGCTGGTGTCGTGCAGCCCGCACCAGCTAGGCTGGCCTCAGTGGTGAGGAAACCAGTCTCGGAGCTGGGACAGGACACGCCAAGGAGTCAAACTAGGCATTTGGGAAGTGTGTGTTAAATCTTAAAAAGCCCAACACTTCTGAAGCAACAGAAAACTGCCTTTCCTGGCATGAGTGCCAACGGGGCAGAGCTAGCTGCTGTAGGCTGGCACCCCAGGGAGAAACTGGTCGGGGCACTGGGAGCCGCTGGACATCAGGGGACATGGTTGTGGGCGAGGTAGGGGCCACTGAATACCCTGGCCTGCCTCTCCACCCCTCACCCTGGGCACCTGCCATTTGATGTCCTCAGGGAGTGAGGGAGGAAGGCTGGGATGATGTCTTCAAAGAGGAAATCCCTGGTGCTAATTGGCACTCAGAGACCTTTAGGCTAATTAACCTGTTTATTTGTCTCTCTAGAGTAAATTAGAGGGTTTAGCAGTGGCAGGCGGAAGAGAGAGGTGTTTGCTGGTGGCCCCTCCCCGGGGGGCTATGGATGGCTTTGCACAGTGGGTGGCTGGGCTGCAGGGCAGTCGTGAGGGGCTGCGTGTGGGGAAGGCTGTCCTCCCTGGAGGTCTGGCACATTCCCTGCTCACATCTGTGCCCCTTGGATGCTGCCCATGACGGGGTTCTGGGTTCTCTCCTGGGCAGCCAGGTGCGGACATTCCCAGGTGGGAGGGGCAGCTGGAGGGGCCAGTGGGACCTGTGCGGGGACTCGCTTCCTTGTGCCTCTCCCAGCACCTGCGCCCCAGCTGTGCGAGGGGCGTATCCTGTGCTTCCTGTGGGGTATCTGGTCCCTTCTGGACAGACGCCTTGGCCAGACCCTATGGGCTCTTGTCACTTGAGTTGGGGGCACAGCCCTTTTTTGGTATATAAGACACTGGCTACACTCCAGGTCTTCTGTCCCAGACGATTCCAAGTTCTTCTCAAGGGCCAGCCAGGCCAATCTGGGGGCTCGACTGGCTCCACTGCTCTGGAGTGTGAGGGAAGAGAGGAGGGTCCCTCACGTGCCTGGGCCCCTGGGGAGTTGAGCTGCTACCCTCCTAGGCCCAGCCCTGCAGGCCAACCAGCAGGGTGGGGGCAGCTGGCCCACCCTCCGTGCCTTTCCCGTCCCGCAGGGGCCCAAGGCATCGTCAGCAGCGGCCTGATCCCCTCGTTGGTGTGGAAGCTGCAGAAGGAGCAGGGGGCCGTCCAGGAGCTCATTCTAGACACGCTGGCCTACTGCCTGCAGGAGGACGCCACGGAGGCCCTGGGCAGCCGCGTGGTGCCCTTTCTAAAGCAGCTGCTCCTCAGCGCCAGCGACACCATCCGGGCCAAAGCTGCCTGCACGCTCATGGCCGTCAGGTGAGGCCTGGCCTAGGCCTGGGCCTGACCCCGCAGCCACTGGCCCAGGGCTCCAGGGCACCCACGGTGGCCTGCTCCCTCTCACCTGCCACTACCCTGGGGAAGGAGGGAGCTGACACAGAAGACAGGTCTGCATTAAGGTGACCCCTGTCCCACTGGCCTGGGAGTGTCTTGGATCCCAGGAAACCCCTAGCCTGGATGAAACCAGGCAGTTGGTCACCCGCCTGGAGAAGGAAGGCAAGTGCAGGAGAACACTGGTAGTGACGCTGGTGCCTGCTGGGCACTAAGTGCTTCCTATGTGCCAAGTGTTGTCTGCAAACGTCCCATTTGGACAACCCCGAGAAAGGTGATGTCTCTCTTTACAGGTGAGGAAACTGAGGCAGTGTGTCTTGTCACTTGCCCGAGGTCACATCAGAGCACAGTCTACATCCTGGCCTGGAAACTGAGGCAGCACAAGATGCAGGGCTGGGAGAGGGGTGGTGTGCATTCCCACATTGGCCCCTTGTCCCAAGCACGAGCTGGTCACCAGCCCCAGAATTCCCACCTTAGCTGTGTCCCCTTAGTGAGGGCCCTAGGTCCTGGCTGCCTTTCATCTGGGGTTCTCACTGGAGGCCTGGCCAGTATTTCTGTAAGTGTAGCCCCTGGGAGACCTGTTAAATGCAGGCTCCTGGGCCCCAGCCAGCCAATCACCTGTGAGGTTTGCTCAGAGGTCCCTTTCCAGCGGAACCCAGACAGAGGCTTTCTAGGACAGAAAATTGCAGCCTTCCCATCCCTCCTACCCTGCACTATCAACCATCCCTACTGTTTTGTGTGTCACCTCCTGGAGGTGACCACCTCTCAGGAGGTGACCTCCTGAGAACAGGCTTTGCTCTGTTTGCTACTGTAGACCAAAGGTTCTCAGTGGGTGGCTTTGGCCCTCTACTTGCTATGTTAATGGATCTGGGAATCCCTGCGGGGGGCCCAGGACCCTGCATCTTTCAGGCCCACAGCCCTGAAAGCTTAAGAGCCTCACAGTGTCCCGGTTAGTGACTGGCCAACCCCGTTTCCCAAACTATTCCTGTGGAACACCTGTGTATGAGGTGTTATTAAGAGTTCTAGACTGGGTTTTCTGGGCGGCTATGTTTGGGAAAGGTTGATTCAGCTAACTGAGTAGAGCTGGGCGTGGTGGTGCAGGAATGTAGGCCCAGTGACTTGGGAGGCTGAGGCAGGAGCATCACTTGAGGCCAGAGTTCAAGGCTGCAGTGAGCTATGATTGCACCACTGCACTCCAGCCTGGGCAACAGAGCAAGACCCCATCTCTAAAAACTAAAAAATAAAACAAACTAAGTAAGTGACACAGGGGCCTTGCCTGCCCTGTGACTTTCCCATGTGGCCCATGGACAGTGTTACCGGGCCCAGGGAGCCCTTCTCTTTTGGGGGACAGTGTTGGACCTCCTAAGGTGGGAAACTCTCGGGGAGTCCACCACCTACGTGTTCACAGCTTCATACAGTGTCAGAATGAGAAGTGACCCAGGGTCATCTTGTCTAAGCCTCCACCTCAGTTGCCCAGCGCCAGCAGCCTGCTGCGGCTGGGGGCAGCCTGGTCCTCCGACTCTTGGGTGGAGTCACACAGGTCTTCCTGTGGCTTGCACCGCTGGTCCTGCTCTTCCTCATTTTGGGACCAGGGAGAACATGTCTCGTTTCTTTTCCTCATGATGGCTTAGAGTGGAGCTCCGGCACCCCTGGAGCTCACACCAGAGCTCCTCGGCACCCTGAGTAGTCCCAACACAAGCCCTTTCCTTTTGTGTCCCCTGGGGCATTCCTGGGCCTTGCCCTCTTACCCCCAAGCAGAGGTGCCAACCGCCCCTTCTCTGCTCCAGCATCCCCTTGCAGGGCAAGAACCAGGTGTGGGAGTACGGCGTCATCCCCATCTTGGTGCACCTGCTGAAAGACGACATGGATGAGGTGCAGGCCAACGCCGCCGGGGCCCTGACCTACGCCGCCGTGACCACAGAAGGTGAGCCAGGGGCCAGGGAGCATGCTGGCAGCCTCGGTGACCTTTCCAAAACCTTCAGGTGTTCAGGGGCCAGGTATTGCCCCCCAGGTCCCCATGCTCTGCCAAAATCCTCCTCCTGGCTTGTCACTGAAGTCCTGTCAAGGGTTGGTCTGAGGCTCAGCCCTCCCTCTTCTTCCTGGGCACGGTGGGCCAACTGTGGCCCCTCACTGGTCACTCAAATTAGGACCTTGGGGCATCCACACCAGGCTGTTCCCTGAGCCTGGAATTCCCGCCTCCCACCCAGGTCCCTGCTGAGCAGTGATTCTGGGATCAATTAGCTTGCCATCTAAGCCCTGGAGCTCTTGACATCATGTTGTTTCTTGATTGTAATGACTTTCCCCAACTGGAGAAGGGGACAAATCCCCCTACCGAGCCCCCACCTCAAAACTCCCAGCCAGTTAGGCTTCCCCATGAAGTCACCCAGCCCTGGTTTCCACACCCGGCAGGCTGTGGCACGCCACCCCGGGGCCTCAGAAAAGCTGTCTGACCTCCCTTCACAGTGGCCTACACGCACCCCAGCCCGTGCCGCACTTCCTTTGCGGTCCGTGGAGGACCGTCTGGGCTCAGATGTGCTCAGTGTGCTACAAGGAGCCTCCCAAAGACAGGTCCTCCCAGCCTCTCCCTAGCGGTGGGAGTTTGAGGCACAAGGAGGGGACAGGGTGACATAAACGAGCTATTGGATTTACAATTTGAAAAGACCCCTAGTGTTGCCTGTGAGGACTGGGCTTTGGAACAGGAGCAAGGGTGTATGGGGAGAAGCCAGCTAGGGGCTGGAAAGGCAGGAGATGACGGGCCTGGCCTAGGCCAGACTCCGCACGTGTGTGCGGGAGGGGAGGGGTGGGAGGGAAGTGAGCAGGGGGCCAGGGTGGTGCCTCCCCTTGAGATAGTGAAGGCAGAGGCAGGAGGCCAGAGGGCGAGGTGAGAGAGGTGGGAAGAGGCTCCCTCGGGCCATTGGGGACCCCCTGTGCTGGTGGCCTGCAGGGAAGTATGCGGCCCTGGAGGCAGAAGCCATCGACCCGCTCCTGGACCTGCTGTGCTCCCCGGTGAACAAGGTGCGCCTGAACGCCACCAAGGCCCTCACCATGCTGGCTGAGGCCCCCGAGGGCCGCAGAGACCTGCAGTCCCAGGTGCACATCTTCCGCACCCTCCAGGAGGAAACCACTGAGGTCAGCACGCGGCGGGCGGCCCAGATTGCCATCAAAGTCATTGAGTGGAAACCCTGAGCCACTCGTGGGGCAGACCTGCCAAGCCACTTCCATCCTGAATAAAAAGCTGAATCTCTTTATCTTGGGTCCGAATGGCACTTTATGTTCCTGGAGCACGGTCACTTTCCCGCTCTTTCTCTTGCCAAACTGGAAATGCCAGGTCCAGAAGGACTGGGTCCTGGGCTGGGGACGTGGTGGGAGGTGGCCTCTAAGCTCGGTTCTCTGCTGAGGCCAAGAGTCCCGCTCAGAAAGTAGACAGCGGGGCTGAGCCCTCCAGGGACAAGGCTGGGGGCAGGGACTTCAGTTGGGGGAAAGAAGGAACACAGCTGGGCCAGGCACCACCCAAGCTTTGGCACTTGAGTGACCAGGCCCCTGGGGTGTAGCTGGACACAGCCCTCTCAGCCTGGGTGAGGAAGGAAAGTGAGGGGCTCCATCAGGGACGAGTGCTCCAGACAGGGGTAAGTTCTGGTGTCCTCATGAAGATCTTCCCCCAGACAGCTGCATTCCTCTCCAAAGCAAGGAAGTTGGCTGAACACGCTTGGGGGCTGGCCTGCAGCCTCTCCCCTCAGCTCCCGAGGCCTGGGGCCGTCCTCTGGGCAGTCTTCCGCCTGTGCCTCCACCACCACTTGTTCCCTGCAGCGAAGCTGGCGAAGGGGGCTGGAGAGCTTGGGGAAGGAGACAGAGCTGGGCAGAGAGGACGGGCCAGGAGCAGCCAGGCTGCAGGGGGCCTGGGGCATGGGGATGAGGCTGGGGAGTGACCTAGAGAGCCCCTCAATCTCTACCCCCAACCCTGCCTGGCCCAGGAGTCCCCCAGTTCTGGGGGGTGGAGGGTTCTGGCCTCTGCTGGAGGAGCTACAGGAGCCTCCAGAGTTCAGCCTGGGGCCGGAGCCTTTCGTCTGGGCTGAGCTGGGGCCTTAATCTTTCCCCAAGGGCTTTCTGAGCCTCCCTGTCTCAAACAGGGTTCCCCTTGTTCACACACTACCCAGCAGTCATGTTTCCTGTGGGATGTCCGCTCTGCCCAGAATAAACGTTATCAGCAAAACCAGAGTCCCAAAGTGAGCCTCTTCTTGTGGTCCTCTCAGTAAGCCCCAGGGGCCCTCACTTTCTGGGAAGAAACAGAAGTTTGTATCCCTGAAATGAAGGATGTAGCCCAGCTAGGCCCTCTTGTTCTGGAAGGGACTATCTGCTGGGCCTAGCTGGGGGTTTCAGGTTTAATCCCATCCTCAAAAAAGGCCCCCTGAGAGGAAACCTTTTCTCCTTCAGGAAAAGAGGTGCTCAAGGGGCTCCACTTCCTCATGTCCCAGTCCTGCCTCAGCACTGAGCAGGCCAGCCCTAGCTCTACCCCAGGCTCCAGCCATGGTCACCGTCCCTGCTGCCAAGGCCCTGGGCTCCCGTAGAGTCCTCTGTCTCTGCATGGCCAGTGGTGTTGGTGTTTCTCACAGTTCTGTCCTGCTAGCCTCCTTCTCCCAATTTCCCCAAACAATCTCAGCCACCTGGCTGGGGACCTCCTCCACCTGGCTGCCTTCTTAGCTGGGCCTGCCCTCTGCCCTCTTGCCCCCAAATCTGGGTCTCCAGCCCCAGCCTCTCTATTGAGTTCTGGATCCTTATATCCAACTTAACATCTACCCTTAAATGTCTCCAGGCAAGAATGAACACCAAACCTTCACAAACTGTTTCAAAAATAGAAGAAGAGAGAATATTTCCAACTCATTCTATAAGGGTAATACCACCCTAATACCAAAACCAGACAAAGACATCACAAGAAAACTATAGACCAATATTCCTTATGATTATAGAGACAAAAACTCAACAAATATTAGCAAACCAAATCCAGCAAATATTCAAAGTACCGTACACCATGACCAACTGTGGTTTATCCCAGGAATGCACAGTTGGTTTGGTGTATGAAAATCAATCAATATAATATAATAGGCTAGGCACGGTGGCTCACACCTGTAATCCTAGCACTCTGGGAGGCCGAGGCGGGGGGATCACTTGAGCTCAGGAGTTCGAGACCAGACTGAGCAAGAGCAAGACCACATCTCTACTAAAAATAGAAACTTTAGCTGCATGTTGTAGCATGTGCCTGTAGTCCCAGCTACTTAGGAGCTGAGACAGGAAGATAGCTTGAGTCCAGGAGTTTGAGGTTGCTGTGAGCTAGGCTGATGCCACAGCACTCAACTCAGGGCAACAGACTCTATCTGAAAAAAAAAAAAAAAAAAAAAAAATATATATATATATATATATATATACACACACATATATATAATACAACATATCCATAGAATAAAGGACAAAAATCACATGGTCATCTTAATAGATGCAGAAAAAGCATTCCACAAAACCCAACACTGCATTCATGATTAAAAACAAAAACAGGCTGGGCATGATGGCTCAAGCCTGTAATCCTAACACTGTGGGAAACCAAGGTAGGAGGATCACTTGAGGCCAGGAGTTTGAGGTTGCAGTGAGCTATGGTGATGCCACTACACTTTAGCCCAGGTGACAAAGTGAGACCCTGTCTCAAAAAAAAAACAAAACAAACTCTCAGCAAACTAGGAATAGAGGGGAGCTTCCTCAAAATGATAAATTTCATCTTCAAAACCTCAGCTGATATCATATTCAGTGGTGAAAAACTGTTCTTTCCCCAATATCAGGAACAAGATAAGGATGTCCACTCTTGTCACTTCTATTCAGCATATTACTGGAGGTTCTAGTTAGGGAAGTTAGGCAAGAAAAAGAAAGGCATCCAGACTGTAAAGAAAGAACTAAACTATTTCTGTTCACAGATTATACGAGCTTATATAAGAAAAATCCCAAGGGAATATATTTAAAAACTATTAGAACCAATAAACAAATTCAGCATCATTGTTGGATACAAGATCAAAATACAAAAAATTAATTGTATTTCCACACATTAGCAATGAACCATCCAAAAATGAAATTGAGGAAACAATTTCAATTATAATAGCATAAAAAAGCATAAAATACTTAGGAATAAATTTAATGAAAGGAGTGTAAGATTTGTGCACTGAAAACAAAACAGTGTTGAAAGACATGAAAGAAGACCTAAATATACAGGAAAGACATCCCATGTTCATGGATCAGAAAACTTAGTATTGTCAAGATAGCAATAAACATTTTCATGCAGCTCAACCTTTGTATGTCAGAAATAAGCTCATCTTTTCCCTGTACCTGTATTTTCTCCAGTGTGACCTGTCTCTGCAATTAGTGCCTTCATCCACATGCTCAAGCCAGAGAGTCACCTCTCGCCAAAGGTCCCCTTCTCTTTGCCACGAACTTGCCTGCATTGCCCTAACAGGCTCCTGGTGGCTGTTCCTGCTTCCCTTTCATCTTCCCAGCAGCAGCTCCTTCCCTGCCTAAGTCCCCTTGGGCCTCCAAAACATACAAGGCCCTTCCCCTTCCCTTCCCACCGTTCTCCATGCACATACTATGTCTTGACATCCTCAAACATGCCTTGTACTCTTGCCTCGTGTCTTATGTGTCCTTTCTGTTATCCAGACAACTGACCTTCTCCTTACCTGACTCTGGGGCCAGGTGGGGCTCCCTGCTGGGCACTGCTGCAGTGCACACACTGCGTGGTGGGCCAGCATGTAGCCTGGGTGTCAGGCAAGGTGCTGCAGGCCTTGTGTCCACCCCGTTGCTAGGTTCCCTTGCTGAGCCTCAGTCTCCTCCCTGTGAAATGCGGTTAATTCTCATCCTTCCACATGGCAGTTTTGTGGCTTGAACGTGATAATGCATTTACCCTGGGCCTGAAAACAGTAAGCCACACAAAATACTGGCCAGTGCTACAATTGTTTTCCCCTGCAGACCTACACTCCAGAGACCAGCTCCCAAGTGCTGTGTTCACAGCTATTGCCTTGGAGCTCCACACAGAGGCTGGCACCTAGTAGGAACTCAGAAATGCCAGATGAAGGATTAAAGAAGGGATGAGGCCTGGTCATATGACCACACCTTCAGAGAATGATTCTTGTGATGAAATTACTTCAAGGCACCTGACAGATTTTCCCTAAACACACAAATCATTTATTTTGGTCTAGAAAGAAGGAAGAGGGAGAGGTTTGGGGGTCTCTACAGAAGGACAGCCCAGGAGTGGCCTGTGTCTGATGGCCAAAGGGGATCTACCCTGTGGGCCAACCCCCAGTGGCAGCCCGCTGCAGGCAGATGGACAGGGCTGGGGAGAGCTCTGCGAGGCCAGGGGTCTCTCCATCTGCCCTCCAGGGCTGCGAGGTGCCAGAACACGCCCCAGACTGTGCTGAGCTGTGGGGAGGACTGTTCTCTTCGAGCAGAGCCTGCCTCGGCCCCACCCCTGGTCCAGGCAGGGGCGGAAGCGTTCGTGCCCTAGTGCACAGCATCTTGGCCGGCAGGGCTGCCCCTCTGAGGGCGTGGAGAGAACAAAGCAGGAAAGAAATGGTAACAGTGAAGTAAACACAAGCAAAAATCCCAAATATATCTAGAGATGAAAAGCCAAAACTAAATTTAAAGTGAAAGTCAGTGTTTATGCAGTAGAGCCATTTGGAGAAAATGACTCATTTCGTAAAGGAACAGATGTTCCCATTTGCATAGTGTCTGCAATCGCGAATGGACTTCGCCCCGGCCTGTGGCGTGGCACGTGTGTCCTGCAGCTGGTGGTGCTTGATGCAGGGCACCAAGGGAGCATTTTCATGAGTGCAGTCCTCAGGCCCAGACCCGTGAGTCTCTCGCAGGAGGCGCTTCTCACCCTTTGCGAGGAGGGAGTCTGGGAGGCAGCAGCTCCGCCGCCCTAGGGGCGTGCCAGGCCAAGCGGCTTTAGATGTAGTAGAGGTGGCAGAGGGTCACAAGCACCAGCAGGAGGACAGCACTGATGTTGACAAAGTGCCTCCAGAAGGGCTTCTCCGATGTGTCGCCCCATTCTCTACCTTCTGTCTTCTTGGTGGCCCTTCCTGGGGCCAGCCCCTCTGTGCCTTTCGATGTGTCACCAGGCTCCACTGTCTCCTTGGATGTCTTTGTTGGGGCCACTTTGGGGCCCAGCTGTGGTTCCAGGCCACAGAACAGGTCCCAGGCCCTCCCGGGGCAGCCCTGGGTCTCCTTGAATACACCTGGAACAGAGGGAACAGGCAAGGTCAGGGGTGCGCCGGGGAGCACAGCCCTTGTGGAGAGTCCCATCTTGGCAGGGAGTCCCGTCCTCAGCCCCTGGCTGTGGAATGCCTCCTACCCTCCTCAAAGACACACCAAGGTCAGAGTAGGACAAGGGGTGTGGGGAGTGACTTGGGGGTGGCATGGGGCTACAGAGTGCTCAGCTGTGCCCAGATCCCCTCGACTGGGACTGCAGAGGTGGCGTCACAGGAGCACAGACCTCCCTGGGGCGTTGCTGGTGTGCTGCAGCAAAGCCCACCCTCTCTGCCTCTGCAGGTCTAGGGCACCACTCTCTTCGGTGACCTCTTGGGGAGTGTCTTTTCCAGGCGGCTACCAGTCTCACTACTCGTCCCTGGGCCTGCGAAGGCACATCCCTGGCGTGGTCCAGGAAGGGAGTGCAGGCACGAGAGGAAGGTGCTGTTCATGTCTCCAGGCCAAACTAATGACAACCCTGAACTCTGGGGCTTGAACATTACTCTGGTGTCCCTGCCCCTCGGGGCCTGCTCAGGCTCGGGTCAGCACCACGGCCAGCTCCGGCACAGCAGCCGCCTGGAATGTGACCCTGGCGCTGCTCCTGGGAATGGTTCCCTCCCAGATGACAAGACAACCGTTCTGTCAGAGCAGGCTCCCAGCAGAATATGCTGTGATGTCTTCTGTATCTCATCCCTTGGCTAGCCTCCGAGCCGGCGTCTCCTGAGCTCCTGTCCCCGCAGCCAAGGCTGAGGAGGCATCAGGCATGATGGAAATCATCGGCCAGGGACAGGGAAGCCTCTGTTACAGGCGTAGAGCAGGGGACACAGATAGCTGGCGCTGGCACTGAGAAGCCCTGAGCACCACACCCTCGCCTGTGTCCTCACACACCCACGTTGTCACACCATTACACGGCTGCTGGGACTGAGAGGCTGCTGCTTGGAGAGGCGTTGGAGCCAATATGGAAAAGGCAACTGGACATTCAATCACAGCCCAGAGGTACAACTGTCACCGCAAACAGCAAAGGCCAGAGAAGGCAGTGGCACAGCTCAGTGGCTCCACGCCCACACATCGGAGCCAGACTGCCCGTGTTGAAATCCCAGCTCTGCCATGGACTGGGTACGGAGCCCAGGGCAAGTTACTGCATTGGTCAGGGCCTCAGCTTCCCTGGCTGTAAAATGGGAATAATGATTGTGCCTCTCACGTATGGGTGAGACTGTGGCAGTGCCTGGCACACTGTGGGTACCGAGTGAGCCAGCTTGTACCCCCTAGAGGAGAAGAACCACAGCGGGCATCTGCAGGGAGCCCTGCACCCTCCAGGGGCGTGGGGTCCCATGCCCGAGAGGCCACACCCTGCTCCACAGAAGCCTATGGAGCCCACCCTGGCCAGGTGTGCATCTCCTGCCGGTGTCAGGAGGCAGCCCCAGGTCTCTCTGGGACCTGGGTTTCCCTGGCAGGAGTGCAGAGGGGCCCAGAACCCTGCCTGCTCCCAGCCAGGCCCCTCCCTGCCTCCCCAGACTCAGCCTCCCCGTACTGTCCCCTGAGCCTCGGGGCTAATCTCATTATGCCCTTTATCCCCGTTTGCGTCAGGGACCGAAAGCAGCTCAGGTCACCCTCCCCCATGACCCTGAACACCCCTTTTCTGACTCTGTCTGCTCAAACACTTCCTCCTCACCCCCTGAAGGTCCCAGGGCATTAGCCTATCCCTGGAAAATTCTCTCCCTTCTTGCTGGGACTGAAACCTACTTCCCCAGACCCGCTTCCCCCTGGCGCCCTCCTAGGTGGGCTGTTCCCCCACCCACGCCCCCTGGAGACAGGCAGGTCCTCATAGACCATGTCCCGCACCCCTCACAAGGAGCCCTCTGTGGCCACCAGCGCCCCCTCCTGGGCAGCGCACCCCAGCACAGTCTCCGTGAGGCCAAACCAGCCAGGCCTCAGGCCCTGCCTTTCGTCGCCTCAGCATGCGCCTGACTGTGCACCCCATCCCTGCCAGTTCTGGGACACCAGACACTTCAGATTCCCCGCCCCTCCTCTGCCTCCCCCTCGTGGCCTGGGGTGCCCCCTGCCTCAGCCCCACACCTCTCCGCCGCCCGCTCCACGCAGCTTGCAGGCCTGCCAGGGCGTGTGCTGCCCTCTCCCTCGCCCAGCCCGCTCTGCGTGGAGGTGCCATGGGCATTGCCACCTCGAGTGCCCTAAACACACCTCGGGACAAGTGAAGGATGGGGCCTCTGCCTGGAAGCACAGTTCTGAGGGTGCAGATCGCAGGCCGCACAGGACCCCTGCCCGGGGCTCTGGATCTGCCTTCTCACCTGACTGTGACGCGGACGAGGGGAGTCTGTTCCTTCGCATCTCTATGGCCAGGTCTACCCTTTCTTCTTGGCTGTTGCGTAAACTCCAACAGAGCCGGTGCAGCTGGGGAGGGAGAGTGGGAGGGGCATGTCACCACCCAGGACCCTGCCAGGGGGCCACAGGTTACCGTGGCCTGATGCTGGGCACCAGCATCTCCAAGGACTGAGAAGAGATCTAGCTGTTAGACTCCAACAAACGACAGAAAGGATATGAGATCGGAAAGTGTAGGCATTGGGACCTTTGGACTTCAGTACGGGCTCTGGCACCGTGTGGTTGTGTGACCTTGGCAAAAGGTGAAACGACCTGCCTAGTCTCAGTGTCTGTCACCTGTGAGGCAAGGGGCTGGAGGCCATGAGTTCAGAGCTCCTCAATCTGTGGGTCCAGGAGCATGCACCACTTCAGAGTGGGAGGAGCCCCCATCACGGCAGGGTCTACTTCTGCTGGTGGTAAGGGGGAGCCTTGTGACCTGGATGGGCAGGGCAGGGCAGGATAGCCCCAGAGCTGCTTCTAGCCCAGAAGCCTCCACTGGGTGTCAGAGCCGAGCACTGACTCGCCAACCTGAACCTGCCCCGAGACACAGGTCAGCTGGGCTGTTGCAGACCTGGAGGGGCACTCCCTATCCCTTCTGGTCTGTAATTTTTTCCCTCTTTCTAAAAACACATATGGAAGCTTTGGGGAGGAAGATATCTCAGTCAATAGTTGTTGCTTTTTTAGAAAGTCATTATTATTTATGAGACAGGGTCTTGTTTTGTTACTGGGGTGCAGTAGCACATCGCAGCTCACTGTAGCTGCAACAGAAGCAAGGGCCTGAGAAAGGGCAAAACGTGTCACAAGTTCTCTCTCTGCCCCCTCACCATTTTTGGGATTTTAAACCTGCATTCTGAGGCCAGTGATCAGAGAGGCAGGGGAGTGTCTTTTGTTCTTTGTATCACAGGAGACGGGTCAGCGGAATTGTCTGGGCAGAAGTCACAAGATTGTCTTCACTGGAGTTGCTGCAGTTCAACAGCCACTGCTTGAAGCTGAAAGTTCCCTTTAAAAGCTCTATATTCCTGCTTACAGATGGGACGATGAGTGTTTTCTTTTTTTTTTTTAAGATGAGAATCTGCCAACCTCCTCATTTGCTGGCAAATTAACAAACTTCTCTTTCCTTCTCTTCAAGCCACTTGTCCTTTTTCTTCCCTTGGCTGCAGGGGCAAGTCCTGAACTTTCAGTAACAGAATTTGGAGCCCCAGGTGGGCCCTCAGCACCCTGGTGGAATGGCACCCGTGACTGCTGCTGCAGCAGGAAGAAGCAGGGGGCAGCCTAGGCCAAGCCCTGGGTCTGCATTAGTGGGAGCAGCATCTTGTTGTGGTGAGAGAACAAGGAAACACCCCAGCAGCGGCTGGAGCCTGTTTAGCTCTGGGGAACTCCCGTCTCTTTCTCCGCAAATTAGATGCAACTCCAACCAACCTGAACTTTTTGAGGAAAAGGAAATGGATTTGGAAAGTATCACGACAGTTGGGGGAGATTTTTAAACCTTCTAGCCCTGTGGCAGGGCATTTGTTACGAGGCGCCATTTGGGGGTGGAAGTCACAATTGAGCAGAACTAGGGAACCTGGGGAATTCATTCCCTTTTGGATTAGGAGATGTTGGTTCTTGTTTGTGAGGTTCCCATTTGTCTGGTAAGGACCTGGCATTTGAGGTTGTTTGCATTGGGAATTCCCTGTATTGTCTACTTGTTGTGTTGTGTTCGTTGTTGTTTGCCAACATGGGAGGCTCCATTTCTATTCCATCTGAAAGCCCCTTGGGGACAATCTTGGCTGAATGGCCAATTTATAGCTATAGGTCTATGTCTAAAAGGGAATGGTGTTATTGTAATCCAACGTATGTGCTAGAGTGTAAGGAGAGGTGGCCGTTGAATGGAGCCTTAAATTATTACGCTATCTTACAACTGGAATTATTTTGTCAAAGTTCAGATAAATGGGACAAGATTCCATATGTATGATCTTTCATGCAATTGCATAAAAAAGAGGCTGAAAATCCAGGTGATAAAATTGGGGAGGAATTAACCAGGTTGGATCACATGAGCCCTTTATCTGCTCCCCTACTGCCAGCTTCCCACCTGCTGGGGAAGGCACCAGTCTCGCCCATGGTCAAGCCTGCACTGCTGGGGACCTGCTGCCCCACAGCGGGCCTGGGAAGTGGCCCTGTACAGAGCCATAGCAGGGACAACTGCCACTGCCACCATCCCCTGATGATGCTGCTATCTTAGCACCATGAGAGGGACCAGGGAGGGTGCAACTGGGACCTATTCTTCAGGCCCACACCCACTAGATTATGACTTGAAGTGAGAATGATCTCTCCTCTAAGACCTACCAGGGAACTCAATTTGGCCAGAGGCCACCCATGGCTGGGGCAAGGCAATTTCCATTATGGCAATATCAAATATGAGGTTTGATGGCACAACGACAGCAGGTAGAGTGTTATTGGACTTACACAAATTGGGATCCTAATGCGGATACAGTTGGTATGAGAATAAATCATTACTGGAAGTGTATTCTGGCAAGTGTACTCTGGAAGTGTACTCTGGAAGGGAGTGCCTAGACATAAGAGTTTAAACAAGGTCCAAGAATTACAACAAAAAGCTAATGAAGAGCCCTCTGAATCTCTGAAACACATCTATCGGGCATATTGGAAATATACAGATGTGGATCTGGGGACCCTGAAAATATGTGGCCAATAACATAACTTTTACAGGGCAGAGAGCTCCATATACAGAGGAAGCTGCAGCGTGTGGAAGGGACAATTGGCATGAATTCCTCACAGTTTCCTGATATTACCTTTAAAATATATAACACTAGGGAAGAATAGAAACTGAAACCTCCGTGTGTTCTGTTAGCTGGGCTAAGGGTCCTTTGAAACAGTCAAAAGAAAGGGCGGAAAAAGGTCACCCCAGGTTGAAGTACTTTTTGTAAAAAGGACGGACATTAGAAAGAATGCTGCCCAAAATTGCAAAGGGCTCCAGATAACAAGAAACCCTCAGGAAAGCAAATGGTTCTTTGAGTTCAGATGACGCAGTACGGGCCCCAGGGCTCCATGCCTCACTAGTGGCTCCAACCCAAATATCCCCACAGGAGCCCCAGGTACAACTGACAGTGGGGACTTGATTAGCGGGCCTTTTAATTAGCACAGGAGTGCCACCACTGCCAAGCCATGTGCACAGAAGCAGCCTGAGGCCTCCCCACTGGCTGCTGCCCTGGCCCCGCCACCAACTGCATATGGCACTCTGGGAGCCAGGCAGGGGCTGGCAGGGGCAGGCAGCGACAAGGCAGCCTTTGGCAAGGGGCATCTGAGGAACTCATTGTTGCGGGCCCAGGAGGCAGAGCCTGGAGAGCCACTGCCAGAGCTGGAGCTGCTCCTGCCGCTGCCAAATCTGGCGGACCTAGGCGAGCAGTGGGAGCACTGGGAGCTGTTCCAGAAGCGGCAGAAGCTGACCTCCGAGGCCACCACCAAGCTTCTGCTGGATGACTACCAGGGCCTGGTGAGGCACACAAGAGGCTGCCACTGTGGAGCAGTTTGGACCTCAGCAGACCTGTACATTGTTGCAGCATTTGCAAGAAGAAAGCTACCAAAATGTAAGGCCGTAAAGGTGATGGGACCCAGGACATACAAAAAAATTAAAATTCCCCATACCAATGAGTATAGATCTGTGCAGGATCTACCTGCCATTAATGATATTGAACAAGTGACTATTAATGACACTCAGTTGCATTTGAATGGCAGGATCCTGGGACTAGGGTGGCTTCATGGAGCTGCTGGACTGTGTTGCCTCAGGGTTTAAAAAGGCTCTCCTGCCCTGTCTGGTGAGGGCTCAGCAGGGTACTTGTGGAACCTACAATTGGACAGATTTGCAAACAGCAGGTTACTTATCAGGGATTCCAAGTTAGCAAGGGAGCCCGTAACAACTACGCAGGTTCCTAGGAACGGCAGGGTTGTGTCGCATCTGGACCCCAAACTTTGGACTAATAGCAAAGCCCTTGTATGAGGCCCTTAAAGGAACAGATGTGGAGCCACTGGTCTGGACTACAGACTGTCAAAATATCTTTGAAAGAACTAAAGCAGACCTTTATGACTGCCGCTGCTTTGGGGTTGCCTGGCTTGCAGAAAGAATTTAAATTATATGTTCATGAAAAATAATGGCCTGGGGCTTCAGACAGATGCTGGGAGACATCCCCCAGCCAGTGGCATACTTGTCAAAGCTACTGGACAACACTGTGAGAGGAAGGCCTCCTTGCCTCCAGGCAGTAGCGTTACTTGTAAGTTACTATCACCCTCAGTCCTGCCACCCTGTTACTAGCTGAAGAGAACGAGCCTTTGCAGCACGACTGTGTAGAGGCTCTGGAGGCTGTCTGTCCTAGCAGCATAAATCTGCAGATCAGCTGATGCCAGGGCCAGATTGGGATCTTTTCGCTAACAGGAACAGCTTTATGGGGGATGGATAACAAAGGGCTGGCTATGTGGTGGTCACAGAACAACGGGTACTGGAGACAATGGCACTGCTGCCTGGGACTTCAGCCCAGATAGCTGAGATGATTGCTTTAACCTGAGCTCTTCAGTTATCCAGAGGGAAAAAAAGTAAATTTTTATATGGACTTTAAATATGTTTTTAGGATTGTGCGTGCTCATGGTGCTATCTGGAAAGAAAGAGGGCTCCTGACAGCAGGAAATAAGGATGTTATGTACGCCACTGAAATGATAGCCCTGGTACAGACCCTGGATGAGCCCAAGTGGGTGACCATCAGGCACTGTCCTGGTCACCAAAAAAGGAAGACACTTTCGAGGAAAAAAAAAGTCAGGCCACTGACAGGGCTGCTAAGAAGGCCACCAAAGGTGATCTGTTCCTTGGGGCCTTGATATCCCAGCTGGATTTACATCAATATAAACCCCACTACACTGATGAGGATGAAAAAAGAGCTAAAGACTGGGGCTCTGATGTTGGGATGGCACAGCTAAGGGGAGACAGAATCATCATGGACTTGTCCTCCTACCCTAAGCCTTGGTCCAGCCCTTGTGAGGCACCTATG